CCGGCGGCTGCAGGCCCAGGCCCGCGAGGATGACCAGGGGCCACAGGCAGGACGCAAGCGCCTCTGCTCCACTCCCGCACCGGCAGGCCGCTGGCCCCAGCTTCCAGGAGACCGCGGGGACACTGTCCGCAGAGGGGACGCAGGCGCGGGGCCCTGGGCCCGGGGCGCTCCAGGCGCAGCCCCACAGCGGTACACGCGGAGCCCAGCCGCCTCCGCTCTCCGCACCGCCGCCCGGCCCAGGCGCTGACCTCAGAGCGGCCGGACCCTCCCAAGTCCCCACAGAAGCCGGGTCTGCATCCAGGGGCCTCAAAGGCACAGTGCTCTCCACACCGGAGCACGAAGGCGCCGTAACTGCCCTGCGCGATCGCCAGCCACGGACCCTCCCACGGTCGCCACAGACGCCGGCGGCACAGCCAGCTGGGGCCGAGCGGCTGCCACACTGGCAAGGCGGACGCAGACCGGGCTGCGGCCTGGCCCACACCCTCCCGCCTCCACTTACGTGTTAAGGCCCAGAGGTCACTCACAGACAAACACTGGGGGTGACAGATGAGGGAGAAAGAGCCAGAGGAAGGTGCACGCGGCAGGGAAGGCGCACGCGCTCGGGCCCAGCCCAGGGCTGGTGCGGCGCCGGGGTGGGCAGCGGAGCGCCCTGGCGTCACGCGTCCTTGAGGTGGCTGGTCAGGGGGCCGGCCCCGGAGGCCCCAGTCCACCTCCCACCCCCAGCAGGAAGGAGCGGGACCTGGAGCCGCTTGGAGCCCGCGGCCACAGCACAGACCAGGGCGGCCGCCTCCCCAGCGGGGTCGACCCCTGGAGCCCCGGGAATAACCTGCTGGACCCAGGCTGCCCTCGGAACCTTGGGGCCGCGGCTGCAGTAGCCACCTTTCGTGGGGAAAGTGGGGCCAGGTCTGGCCCCACCGGTGCACGGGCACGCCTGCTCGGGACGGGTCTGGAGACGGATCCACACCCCGGGCACGCGGCACGGCCGAGACCACGCCGCAGACCCCCCGCAAGGGCCCCGGCTCTTCCTGCGTCCTGCTGGGAGCCCGGGGCCGGGGCGCCGGGCCTCGGTGATGCCTGCGGGGAGCCCACAGCCAGAGCCACGCCGGGGCCGCCGCTGCCCTGCAAAGAGCAGGTCGTGCCTCTGCGCCCCTGCCCGGCCGGTGCGCTCCACCCGGCAGGCCCCTTCCGGGGCTCACGTTCCTGCAGAGCCCGCCCTCCCCCGCTGCCACCGGTGGTGAGGCAGGCGGGGCCTGCGCCATCTCACAGGAGCCCGGAGCCGCGGCAGGCCATGGCGGGCAGGGGCCGCCCTGCGACCGGGGCCCTGGGCCCCCCCTACGGCCACTCCTCCCACCCCTGCCTGCAGGAGGCTGCCGGTCCTTCAGGGCAGGAGCCGCCCCCCCGGAGGCCACAGGGACCGCCTGCCCCGAGCTGGCCGGCTGCCAAGGGTCACTGGCAGGCCTTTCCCACCCCTGCACGGGGGCGGGGGGGCGGGCGGGGAACCCGGGAGCAGCGCTCGGGGCGCAGGGTCCTGCGCCCTCGGACACTCGCCCCACGCCCGTGCGTGAGCGGACGGTGCTCTCCTGCCAGCCCAAGGAGCTGCTGCCCTTGACCAAGCGCTGCGTCCGAGAAGGTTTCCTGGCCTGTCGGGCCGGTCGGCAGCCCGCGCCTGGCTGGGTGCACCGGCCGGCCGACTCTGCCCTCACACCGCCAGGGCCCAGGGCTGCCTGGGCAGCGACCATCAGGCACGACAGGCGGGCACCCGCGGCCAGCGATCGCAGGCCTGCGCCCCTGCCCCGTCCACCGCTGCCCCTGCCCCGAGGCCAGCCCACACAGGGAGCCCGGCCCCTGGCCTTGGTCGGCCCAGGCCTGCCCGATTGCCCTCCCAGTTGCCTGTCCGTTCCCTCCACCCAGGACTCCTCTCCAGCCTGCCTGCCACCAGCACCCCACACGCTTTCTCCTAAAGGTCCCCCGAGGGCATGGAGGGGGACATCCGAGGGGCCCAGCCAGGCGAGCGGCAGGGAGGCCCCCATGCCCCCCTCCTCTCTTTCACTCCCCAGCGAGCCTGGAGCCCTGCTCAGCCCCCCACTCCCATCTCCTGCCCAGCGGGGGTGCCCGAAGGGCCGCCGCACTGCGTAACGGGGGCCCCGCACCCAGGACGGCTCCCGCAGCCTGCCGTCCACCCCCCCGCCGTTCCCGGGGACAGGAAGGATGACGCGGCTCGCGTAGGCAACGTGCCCTCCTCGACCGCGCCGCCTGCGGGGGCCCCCGGGGTGCCCCCACCCCTGCCCCGGCCGGAGCAGCCTTTCCCAGAGGAGGGGGCCTGGGCAGGGGCTGTCAGCGACCGCTCCCTGCACAGCGACCCCTGCCCCGGCAGGGCCCGGCGCCCCATCTCTCCCCCGGAAGCCGCGGCGCGGCTGCCGGAGGCCTCCCCGGGCTGTCGGGGGCGCCTGGGCAGAGAAGCAGGGGCAGAAGGGGGAGACCCTGCGGCCACAGCCCGCCCCCAGCGTGACTGGCAGCACCCAGGGCCGGGCCGACGCTGCTCGGGCCGGCAAACACCGTCGCAGCTCAGGCTGGACCCCGCCGTCCCGAGGGGCCCAGCAGACAGGGGGCGCCGCTGCACCGGCGCCTGCACTCGGCAGCGGGCAGCGGCACCCCCGTCCGATGCCCCAAAGGCCGCATTGTGGGGCCGAGCAGCGGGCCCACCTTCCAACAGGCCCCGGCTTGGAACGGAGGGACCGAGGCCCCGCTGCCCCATGCCGCTTGCGCCCCCCGACGCTCCCTGGGGGCCGCAGCTTCCTCTTTACGGGACTCGGGCGAGTGCAGAACAGAAGGGACCGGCTGAGCTGGCCGTGGCCACGAGACAAGGGGCCGGGCCGCAGCCTGACCCCCGCTCAGGTCAGACGGTGGCTTCCGGAGCGGGAGGACAGGCCCGGGGAACCGAAACGCTCTCGGCACGCGGGGCCTAGGGCCCGGCCAGGCCCTTGCATGCGCGGAGGGCCCCCCCTCCGCCCAGCAGAGGACCCTTCCCCGGAGGGACGCGGGGTCCTCCTGGGAGCAGGTGCTCCAGCCACCCGTGGGGCCAGGGGCCCACGGGCCTGACGGACCCCCGCCCCGGGGTCGCCGCGCGGCGACGGCAGCGCCGTTTCACTCAGGGGGACAGGCCGCGGCTTCGTGCGCCCCTGGAGCGGCTTCCCCGGCGGCACGTGGTGGCGTGTTGTTGACACACACGCGCAGCACACCCTTTTGTGTTCGTGATTGTTAATTACAGGGGAGCCCTCCTGTAATTAACTGTGCGACAGCGAGGCTCAGCAAAGAGCACAGGCGAGCGGAGCCCACGGAGGCCGGCGCCTCGCAGGCGCGATTCCCCCGGCGGCGCTCACGCGCTGCTGTCTCCTCCTAACGTTTCACTGGTACACTCGTCAGGGTAGCGCCCTGCCTCCCGCATCTCGCTGCCCCGGGCCCCTCCCCCACGGGGGGTTCACCAACGACGGTGGATCCTCCCAGGAAACACCCGTCACTGGAAGCCTGAGGAGCCCCGCTGTCTGCCACCTCCTCCTCCTCGCACTCCGGCCGGCCGGGCCATCCCCACTCCCTGCGGCCCTGCCCCAACCGCTCTCACTGCTTCCGCGGCTGGCACGGGGGGCTGTCCATCCACAGTGGGGACAGGGACGGCACCCCCCAGCCCAGACACCTCACGCTCTCTGCTCACATCGCAGCCACGGCCTCTTCATGGAGCCGGACCTGGCCCGTTCTCCTCCCAAACACCACCTTCCGGCTCCACCTCCCTGCCACCCTGGGGGCTCTGGGGAGGCCTGCAGCCCCCGGCGAGCGCAGCCGCCTCCCGGGCCCCCATCCTGCGCCCTCCTTCCTCCCTCTGCTCCCCTGCTTGTCTTAGGTCCAAGGGCGGCCCAGAGATCTCTGCCAATCGGACCTCTGGGCGCCAGGAAAGGCCCATCCTGGGAGAAGAAAGAAAATGGCTGAGCCCAGCCTCCCACAAAGCTGCTGGCTCTGTGAACACGGGCCAGAGGAGGAGACCGGCCGCCTGGTTGGGACCTAACCTGATCGCCAAAGAGCCAGAAGCAGCCAGGAAGCCCTCTCCTCCCTCCCGCAGGCCCAGGCTCTGCTCCCGTTGCCTGGGAGGATCCACAGCCCGGGTCCTGGTCGGGCCCAGTACCAGCCTCCCTCCCCTGGGGAGCGCAGTGTCGCAGACATTCTGACCGGGGGCTGGAAGGGGAGAAAGGCGCTGTCCAGCCCTTTCAGTGGCCTGGGCATTCTCCTACTCCCACCGTGGAGCGAGGTCCCGGCCTGGCCCGGGTGGCCACGTTGGCCCAAGGGCCGCACCGGGCGGCCTCCCTGCCTGTCGGCCACCCGGAGTTCGGGGTCGGGGCCGGGGGCGCGCGGCCCGGGGCGCAGCTGCTCGGGCGGCACGCCTATTAGCGCGGCCGCGGCAGACGGCAGATGGGCGCCCGCTCGGCCCCCTCCTCCCGCGGCACAATGGGCCTGATCGCTCCGGCGCACAATGCGGCCGGGGCCGCGCACCTGCAGCCGGGGCCGAGGGACGCGGGCCGGGCCCGTGCGTCCCCGTCCGCGCCGCGTGTCCTTGGGCCGCGCCCGGCCGACCGCAACCGCGCGGCCTGCGGGGCTCCGCGGCGAGACCCAGCGCCCGGCCGCCCATTGTTCGCCGCCGCCGGCCGGAGCCGGGCCGGGTCGGGCCTGCAGCGCGCACTCAGGGCGGCCTCCTTCCTGGGCGCCGCTCCGCGCGCCGTCCACACGGCCTCCCCGACCGCGGCGGGCCTGTGCGTCCCTGCGCCCCCGGCCTCCCCGGCGCCCCCGGTCCTCCGCGATGCCCTGGCGCCCCAGTTCTCCCGGCGCCCCGGTCCTCGTCAGTTCCCCGGCGCCGCCGGTGACCCCCGGTGCCCAGATCACCCTGACCCGCGGCCTCCGGCCCCCCTCCCCCGACAAGTCACCCCGTCCGCCGGCCCGGCCCGCCCCGCACGCACCTGTCTGCCCCTTGCCCAGCGTCTTCTCCAGCCGGTAGGGCCCCACATACTGCGCGTGCTGCGCCCCGCCGCCGTCCTTCCCCGTCGATGTCATCGCTCCCGGGCCCGGCGCCGGCGAGGTAGGCGCCCCGGGCGGGCGGGCGGCGGCGGCAGGGAGGGGCCGCGTCGGTCCGCGTCCGTCCGCTCCTGTCCGTCCGTCCGTCCGCTGGGCCGGGTCGGCGGCGCCCGGTGGGCCGCGCTCGCTCCGCGCCCCTCGCGCCTCCCCTCGCCTCCGCCCCCCGCGCCCGCTCCGCTGCGGCCCGCGGCGCTGCCTCCGCTTCTGCGAGAGGACCGGGCGGGCGGGGGCACCAGGCTTCCGCCGCCGCCGCCGCCGCCGCCGCCGCCGAGGCCCGCGCCCCGCGCCCCGCGCCCCCAGCGCACGCCCGGCAGTCGGTTCGCGGCCGCGCAGGCGAGCCGAGCCGAGCCGAGCACTCGGGCCCCGGAGCCGAGCGGAGCCGAGCGGAGCCGAGCCCTAACGAGTGATGCCCGCTACCGCGGCGGCGGCTGAGAGTGGCTCCTGCGCCGGCCAATCAGCGAATCTGACCAATCAACGGCGGCCGCATCGCCGCCCCCCCCCTCCGTCCTCCCGACCGCGGCGGGCGCCGGGGGAGCTGGGCTCCGGGAGGCGAGTCCGGGGCGAGTCCCGGGCGAGGTCCGGGCGAGGTCCGGGCGAGGTTCGGGGCGGGGCGGGTCCAGCCGTCTCCTGCGCACGGCCTGGCCCTCGGAGCGCCCCCGGGGCCGTGCAGGCAGCGGGCGCGGGGCGGGGGTACGGGGAGCGCGCGGGGTGGGAGCGCGCGGGGGCCGCCGGGCGGTTGGGGGTGGGCGATCGGCAGCCGGTGCCTCCCGCCCTGCGCCTGCTGGCCGCGACCGCCGGCGTCAGAATTCTTGCTTGTCCCCTCACCTCCCTGGGGGCGACGGCGCTGCGGGGGCGCTTGGCCGGATCGTGACCTTGCGCCTCCCGAGGCCGTGCCCGGGACGCTGCCCTCCTCCGCTCCATCTCCCCAGGCTTACAACGTGACCGGACCAGAGGGGTCAAGGAACTCACCCGAGGTCACCCAGCAGCGAGCCTCCCTGGGGAGGCGGCTCCCAGGCCTTCGTGCCGTCGCTTCTTCCGTCGAGTGGGGTGGATGGGCCCGAGCGCTCGGCACCGACAGCTCGGGAGCGGTGTCTGCCCAGGCGGCCAGCCCCGTTTCCTATAGGAAGACCCTCCCGCCTGCCTTAAGCTAGTGTTGCTGAGGGTGGTGGGAGACCAGAGGCGAGGGCCTAGGAGCAGGGGTCCCCGAACCTTGCCGCTGTCAGCTGTCCCGCAGCGGTTGAGTCGCTGGGTTCCTGGACATAACGCAGGATCTGCGGCGATGTCCCCGACGGCAAGCGTCCTGGCCGCAGCTCTGCATGGCCAGCCCCCACTCCTGCCCGCCCTGGGGGGAGGGCTGTGTGAACTCTAGAATTTTCCCAGCGCCCCACCTGGAGGGCCTGTCGGCATCTTTCTCCCCCTTCTCAGCTCAGGAAGTGGAGACAGCCCTCAAACCAACCGCCGGTCCCTCTTGGCCGCTGCGTGTCCCCCGGGGCTGTGCTAAGTGCTGAGGCCTCGGAAGGCGTGCCAGCGCCGGTCAGGCCCCGCCTGGGTGCGCACAGCGTGAGGGAGACCACGGCAGACAGAGGCTGGGGTGGGGGGATCCCCGGCGCGTTTGGGAGCTTGGACTAGAGAGGCTGTGGGGCGAGGGCTGGCTGGAGGCAGGCCTGGAGCCCCCGGGCAGGGCCATCGCAGGCAGACAAGGGTCCAGGCCCGGGCGCTCGGAGAAGGGGCGCCTGCCCAGGACGTAGTTCCTGGCCTCCCCGTCTCCCTCTGCTGGACCCTGCCACCATCACCTGGGCCTCCCCAGCCCCCAGCACTTGTCACCTCTCTTGTGCCCTTAGCGTCATTTGGCCTTGTTGCCCATTCTCATCTGGATACCCCTGGGCTAACCCTCTCGGTTTACAAGGCCCTGCCCCGCCCCTGGGCTCCTGGGGACTTTCTTCCCTCCCTGGCCACCACTCAGCCTTCCCTGCGTGCGTCCGGCCCCACCGCCGGCATTTCTCGGGGCCTCGCGGGGGGCCGCCCTGCTTCCCTGCCCCTGTCCTCCGGGCGGCCGCGCCCACTCCCAGCCCGGTCCTGCGTCCCCACCGCCCGCCGGCCCTCCCGCCAGGGCCTGAGGCCAGCTCCCGCCTGCACCCTCCCTGGTGTCCGGTGCATAAGACCCCCGTTCACAGCAGGTCGCCTCGTCTCCCCATCCTGTGGGGGCCAGGAGCAGGCCCCATCCGGGCCAGGCTTCCGCCCGCCGGCCCAGTGCTGGCCTCGCTGCAGAGGAGGCCCAGGCGGGAGGCCGGGCAGAGGGCAACGCCAGCTCCTGAAAGGAGCAACGAGGACACTAGGAGGTGCCGGAACACAGGGCAGGAGGGGACCCTCCCTGGCTCTTCACATGAGACTGTGACGATCCTGCCCGACGCCGGTCAGGGCTGGACAAGGAAGGAAAGTCAAAGCCCGACATACGAGGGGGGACCCCTCAGAAACCAGAATTACCTCCTGGGGCGCCGGCCCCTTGTTGTCCAGGCTTCCCCCGCTGGGAGGGTGTTCCCGGCAGCCCCTCTGCACCAGGGCGCCGGTGGGCGCTGTGGTAAGAGGCTGCGTTCGGCTGCAGAGAAATTTTTGTCTTTAAGACTTTCACCGTGTTTGCCCATTTCGTGACGGGTGGTTTCTGAGCGCGCCCGCCCGCACCGCGCAGACGGTTCTGCAGTTTTTGACCGGAAATTGCGCGAGCCCTCCCCGTGCACCCGATCTTGCCCCAGGCGACTTTTTGTTTGTTTGTTTCCCCGGATGAAAAGAGTCCTCAAAAGGAATCATTTGGCTGATGTGGAAGAGGTGAAACAAAAAACAGCAGACGCACTGAAAGGTATCAAAAGCGACAAATTCAAAAAACACTTTGAGCAGTGGAACGAATGTCTTGATAGACGTATTGCATCAAATGGAGGGCGCTTGGAAGGCGACTGAAGTTTGAACATGTAAGGGCAAGTACACAGATTTCAGTAAATAAATTCTGGGGTGTTTTTGGGTCCCCCTCCTATGTCCTGAGCCCAGACACAGAATTCCTTGATGGAATGCTAGCAAATCACAGCCCGCAGGAAGGAGCAGGGCTCATTTCGGGATGTGACGTTTAGAGGCACCGTGCTAGCAATCGAAACAGAAAGGGCACGTGATCATTTCCAAAGATTCAAAGAAAACAGCGCTCGGCAAGATCCCATGCCCGTTCGTGACTGCAAAGCAAACCAACCCCACGGGCGGGGACTGGCCGGTGGCTCCCCGGGCCTGCTGACGCGGGGCCGCGCGGGCCCGCGGTGACTGCATGCCGGGAGGCGAGCGGCGGAGCGCCCCGCGGCGGGAACACCCGCTCCAGGCGCTGGATCGCGACCGCCGCCGTGATGCGGCGGGGAAAGGCAGTCACGCTTTATACTCTCACGCGACTGGAAAACAACCTTGACTCGCAGGTCGTGTTATTGACCGTAGGAGACCCTGAGGTCCAAGGCACTGCTGGAGCCAGTCAGGGAGCTCAGCCATCGCCGGCGACCACGCCAGCGTATCAAACTCTGGGTCCCCACCGCGGGCGACAGGAATCGAAATGATAAAAACAAATACCATTTCCCCACAGGTTCAAAACCCTGACACACTTGCAGGTGACTGCAATAAACTCCGCGGGAGGAGCCGTGCGCAGAAAGCCGTCCGCGGCCGCCGGGGGGCCGCCCCGGGCCCAGGGGGCGGAGCGTCGAGCCAGGGCGGTGGTTTCGGAGACTCCGTGTTGGTGACGCGGTTCTCTATGAATTCCGTGCAACTTCAAGCAAAACCATCACCAGCTTTTCTTGCGGGGGGGGGGGGGGACGACAAGCTGATTCTAAAATTTAAAAGAAGTGCAAAGGATCAGGGAAATCCCGGACTTGGAGGAGGAGGAGGACCATGGAAGAGCCACACGGCCCGGTTGCGCCGGAGTCTGAAGCTGCTGCGCGAGGAGGGACAGGCCAGCCGAAGAATGGCCGTGGGGTCCGGGAGCGGCGAGGCCAGAGGTTATGGGGGTGTGCGTTTTGACAAACGGTGCTGAAGGGAGGAGACACGTCGGTAAGGACCCCGGGCCTGACCTCACACCATCTGCTCCGTGTGAGAGCTGTGAGGGTAAAACTTCTAGGAAAAAAATCACTGCGGGAAATCCTGGGTCCTTGGGTTAAGGGAGAATATTTTAGAGAAGATGCTAAAAAAGCCCAAACCGTACAATTTAAAAAAACAAGAAATTGAACACTGTCAGAATGAAAAGCTTCCGTGCTTCAAAACGCCGCTCTAAAGAGAGCGAGACGCCGCGGACTGGGAGAACGTCCTTGCAAACGTATCTGATGAGATGTGTGGCTCGAATAGGCGAGGAGCTCTTAACGGCCCCCCAGAAGGAAACCTGATTGAAAAGGTGGGTGGGGCTGGCTTGGGCGGCTTGCGTCTTTCCAGGACTTTGTCCGCCTCACCTGAGACGCCTGGCTTGGCGGGAGCCCACGCGGGTTCGGGCTCACCTCCGCCTTGGCCTCTCACGGGGTCTCTGCCGCGCGCACGCGACGGGCCCCCTCAGAGTGGCTCGCCCCCGTCCCCCAGTCCCGTCCCCCTCGGGGAAAGAGCCACGGCGGCCCCTCCGCCCCGCCTCGGCCCTCGCCTCCCACGGCCCGGCTGCCCGCTCCTCGGCGCGCGGCTGTGTCTGGCGCCCGCCGGCCCCGGCCCCGCCCCGCCACCCCCTCCGCCTGGAGGGGCTTCCTCCAACACGCAGCAGGGCTCCCGCTCGGGGGTCCGTAGGCCAGCGCGGCCCCACCCGAGCCCCCCAGGCCGGCGTCTTGGACCACAGACATTCACGGTCCCCGTCCTGGAGGCTGGAGCCTGAGGCCCAGGTGTCAGCGGGGCCGGGGGAGCCCCCGGTGTGCAGGTGGCCGCCCTCATGGTGGCCTGGCCGCCCCCCGTGTGTGTCTGTGTCCTCGTCTCCTTCTAAGGGCGCCCTGTCATGCTGAATGGGGACCCACCCTCGGGACCCCATTTTA